ATATATATATATATATATATGTTTCATAAATAAAAATCTTCCTTATGATTCTTTATTTAATTTTGAGTTTTTATCTTAACAAAAACATCGATCACCTTCTGCATGAATTACGAATGAATAGTACCTAAAGTCTAAACATTCTCGAGAAAGAAAAGTCTATTCGTCTAATCAATCAAAGACTTGTGCAGTAAAAATGGAATACGTCTGAAACACTCGGTACATTTGAGATAATTGATACGATATCACGTGGACTTGATGTTTGACACTTATTGATAAAACGATATTTTTCCGAGTAATAGCAATCTTCAACCGGATGGAAGCAATAAAGTCGATAAATCTTTTCCGGAAACCGGCGTATTTCTTTTACGGTATAAACTCGTAATTGAATCATCGTCCTCGCCTTAATACAAGCCACTGTCTCGAAGACGCTGTAGACGTCTTCTTCTCGACTGCTACGTCTTGTTTTTTTTTTTTTGCCTACTGGTGTTGAAGGAAGGTCTGTCGAATGTAACGCGAACTTGGTGCTCGCCTTTTCCTTCGTTCTCGAACAAGCAGGCCGATCGGCACAAGCTTGGCGGCTCCTCCGATCATTCTCTCACTTGCTCGTCATCCATCTACACGGTCGGCCGTCTCTCTCTCCCGTCGCCTTTTCCTCGGGACATTTTCTCTTCGATTGATTTTTCGCCGCGACTTCGCGTCTCGCGTCTCTCAGTTGGTGACTCAGTGGTTCACAGTGATTCATAGTGCCTCCAAGGAGGAAGACCTCGAGAGGAGAATATTAGGAGTCCGATCGATTGCCTTCGTACAAATTCGCCCCGGTAAGTCACGGATTATCCGCAATCAATTGACTGTCAAGCGCGAACAACGATAAAAAAATGGTAAATAGGGAAGGAAAAAAGTCTCTTTAGTATCCTTAAAAGCTCTACTAATCTATCTAAAAAATCATACAAGAAAACAGAAGTTCTTGAAAAAGCTGTTGAATAGCAAAAATTATCATTAAGAAATTGTTATTATGATTAATGAATAATTGAAGAGCCAGATAAATTAGAAACTCGTGTCAGACAAATTAACTTAAGTCATTAATCTATTATAATATTGATTATAAATAATTTGAAATAATTTTTTTTAAATAAAATAGATTTTTATAAGAATGGATAATTTCTAATCGATGATTAAGACTAATTTAAAGCTTTATTATTTTATCGATTTCCGTACTTTCGGAACCTATTTTATCACTCCTGTGTGAAAACATTACTGAATAGCAAAAATTCTAATAAAATTAGTAGTTAATTTTAAAAATTATAATTATGCAAAAATTGTAATAGTAGTTACTAATTTTTATTTTTATAGAAATTAAACACTGAAATTTAATTGGGAAATAATTGAAAAATTACTAAACGAATTTATTTTATTCGTCATTTTTCCAAAAACGTCT